CGGCTACTTGATCTAAAAGGAGGAATCTGGTGAGGACTACGCCCCGGAGTCCGCCTAGGGATGCTCTGCCCAGTCCGCGTCGTCCGCATCATCAGCCGCCGCCTCCTCCTCCGCCGCCGCCTCCTCCTCCTCCTCAACCGCCACCGCCGCCACCGCCGCCGCCGCCTTCGCCACCGCCTCCGCCGCCCCGGCCGCCTGCGCCGCCGCCACCGCCGCCCCCCCCAGCACCGCCGCCGCCTCCCCCACCGACTCCGGCAGCGCGCCGCGCGCCGCCGCCTCCGCAGTGCCGCACCCGCGCCCCTCCTCCTCCTCCTCCTCCTCCTCCTCCTCCCTCTCCCCATCGATGTCGCTGCTGAAGACGTGTCTCTGGCGTACTCCCAGGGCGCGCAGAGCCTGGATTGGCGCGTCCAAGCCGGGGCGGCTGGGCGGCGGCGGGGCGGCGGTGCGGCGGGGCGGCTGGGCTGCTGGCGGCGCGCCTCCTCACGCAGCGCGATCTCGTTCGGCTTCCACGGCCGGCCGCTGGGGTGGGAGCTCTTGCGGATGATCGAGTTCCACCTAGTCATGATTGATTGGAGGATGGAAGTACTCATTCGGGTGGGAGCTCTTGCGGACGATCGAGTTCCACCGGTTCTTGATGTCGTTGTCGGTCCGGAGCGGCATGTACAGCTCCGAGATCTGCGCCCACTTGGTGCCTAGGAAGTGTCCAGGAAGTGTCTAGGGAGTATCTAGGGAGTGAGATCTGCGCCCGCTTGGTGCCGAGCTGCTGCACGCGGCTCCAGATCGCCACATCCTCCTCGACCGTCCAATCGCCTAATTGGTTATTTAATTAGTCATTCATTAACTGTTACTGAACTCGTCCTCCTCGACCGTCCAATCGCCCTTGTTGAGCTCTGGCCGCAGGTGGTTGCGCCACCGCTCGCGGCACTGCTTGCCTAAACAAGAAAGGCGGCCCGGGATTTCTTTTTCTGGTTGCGCCAACCGCTGGCGGCGCGGCACTGCTTGCCGATGCGCATGGGCAGCTCCGCCGCGATGAGCGCCCAATTCTTCACGCCGTGAGACGCCACGAGGCGCCTGAGCCGCTCGTCCTCGCTCGTCGTCCACGGCCGCCTACAGGAAAGTTCCAGGAACGGTCCAGGAAAGGTCTAGGAAAGGCCTCGCTCGTCGTCCACCGCCGCCGCTTCAACGAGAAGGGAGCGACGTCGGCCTCGGCCTAGTCGAGTAATTTCAACACGACTGAATCATTCATTGTGCGCTCTGGGCCTCGCACGGCTCCGCCGCCGCCTCCGCCGCCGCCGCCTCCGCTGCCGCCGCCTCCGCCGCCGCCGCCTCCGCCGCCGCCGCCTCTGCCGCCGCCGCCTCTGCCGCCGCCGCCTCCTCTGCTGCCCATGCCGCCGCGTCGTGCCGCCTCCACGCCTCCTGCTTGGTCCCCGCCCGCTCGCCGCGCGGCCCGCGGTACCCCTTGACCTTCCCAAAGTCCATCACCTTTGTCCACCCCGGCGGAAGGGGCGCACCCGAGGCGTGATACAGCGCCGCCTGAAGAGGTGTGCCGCCGCCCGCTCCCCTCTGCTGAGCCGTCTGCTGCGGCTGGTTGTGAGCGGCGGCGGAGGAGGCGGAGAAGGAGGCGGCGGAGGAGGCGGCGGTGGAGGAGGCGGCGGCGGAGGCGGCGGAGGAGGCGGCGACGGAGGAGGCGGCGGAGGAGGCGGAGAAGGAGGCGGCGGAGGAGGAAGCGGCAGCAGCTGCGGACTGCGAGGAGGGGACGGCGGCGGCGGCGGCGGGAGCGGCGGCGGCGGCGGCGGCGGCGGGAGCGGCGGCGGCGGCGGCGGCGGCGGCGGCGGCGGAGGCAGCGGCTGCTGCAGTCGGACGCTGCGTCGCCGAGTAAGGCTGGGCGCGGAAGTGTCTCGGAATTGTCTCGGTACAGCGGAGCTGGGCGTTGAACGGGTCCAGCAGCCGCCTCGCGATGCTCGCCTGAGTGTCAACAACTGCTCCCGTCATTCTTAACCCACAGTGACCCCGCGGCTGCCGGACGATGCTCGCCGCCGACGCCTCCGCCTCCGCCGTCGCTGCGGCTGCCGCCGCCACCGCCGTCGCCACCGCCGTCGCCGCCGCCGCCGGCTCCTCCTCGTCGCAGGACGCGCCAGCGGCGCCAGACGATATGCTCCCATCTACGACACGGACGCGAGCCCCACCGTGCACAGAGGCGCCTTCCGAGACACTTCTTCCGGCAGACGCATCCGCGGGAGGCGTGACGCCGAGTGTACCAACGACGCCCTGCTGGAGGCTGAAGCCGCTCTGCGCAGCAGCGGCGGGCGGAGCAGGAAGCGGCGGCAGCGGCGGCGGCATCCTGAAGCGCAACCGCCGGCTCGGCGGGAGAGTCGGCGGCACAGTGAGCACGAGAGCGCGCCCGTCGGCGCACACCTGCAGCTGCTGCCCGGCGGACACGCCTTCGGGGACGGCAATCTCGAACGCGTCCATAGCGGCGGCGCGCTTCGATGGTCCGCGCCCCTTTTGCTAGTACAGTGTCACCGGCAGGCAGAGAGGCGAGTCTCCCGGCGTGATGGCGAGTGTTCACACAAAAATGGAGCTAGGGTTGCGCAGCTATGAACAGGAGCGAGTTCGCGCTGCGCTAGGCTCAGACGGCGTGTTCGCGCTGCGCTAGGCTCAGTACGGCGAGTTCGCGCTCTGCACCGCCTCCGTACACGCGGCTCTCTTGCGGAGAATTTATCTCTCGGCTGCGTTGGCTCGCCAAAGTCTTTGTTCTCGATGGCGCTGGGTCCGCTGACTGGGGCGGGCGTGGGTGTGCGTGTTTTGTAGAGAAGCAAAAACGCACGTCGTCCGGGTTCTGTCGTGTGCGTCGAGCTGGCGTCGAGCGTGCGGGCGGAGAGGCGAGGCTGAGCCTGTGGCGAGAGCTAAGACAGAGCAGTGCGAGAGTTACACACGACACACACGACACGACAGGGACACAGACACAGGCGATGACCCCGACATCACATACACGGTCGGCATCCCCCCAAGCTGCAAGTCTGCCCTAACGGGCCCTGACAAAGAGAAATGGATGCCGTCATACACTGAGGAGCTAACGGCACTCCAACAAAATAAGACTTTCTCCGTAGAGGACATCCCCGCCGGCGTCCATGTCATCGACCCAACAGTTGTGCGAGATGTCAAACGTGATGAGAACGGCCGCCCAGACCGCTGGAAGACGCGCGTCTGCGCTCGAGGCTTCATGCAGCGGCTGGGCGAACATTACTTCAACACGTTCAGCAGCACGGTTCGATATGAGACGCTGCGGCTACTTATGGCGATAGCCGCAGGCAACGACCTCGCACTTACGAGTCTTGACATCAAGACGGCTACATCGAAGGGGGCGTCCAGATTTACATGCGCTTTCCTGCCGGATGGCACTTCGCCATGAAATCTAGCCGTGTGTGCTGGCGTCCGAGGCCGTGCGGAGTTTGTTGTAAATGAACTCGGGGTCACGGTACGCGGCACAAACGGGGCCCAGAAGGAGTGTCCGAAATCCGCGCCATAACAACTGTCTATGTACGCGCTCCGCCCCCGGCCGCTGCCGCCGCGAATGCGCGCGGCGGCCGCGCGCTTGGTGCGGGGGCCCACCGGACGCTCGCGCGGCGCCAGGGCGTGTCGGTCTCGGCACGTCTCGGGCGCTGTGAGATGCCCTTCGACGTGTGGGCGCTCGCTACAGTCGCCAGGAAGCTTGGCTTCCACTGCTGTGGTCGCTGGGGTCCGGCGGTGCTCGTCAGGCTCTACGATGCGACGGTCGGTTCTTCGCTCGCGTCGCCTGCGACGAGCCTGCATGGCTCGTGGCTCGACGGGAGCTTGCTCAGCACGCTCCCAGGATTGTGTGGAGCCTCGCCTGGCCCTCTGAGATGGCCTGCAGGGCCGGGGCGGGCCGCCACGGGTGCGATGGCGCGCTGAGTACTACCTCTGCGATGATTGCCGGCTCTCTGATCGCGTCGCCGGCGGCGGGCTCGCGCGGCGCGCTGCGGCAGCCTCAAGCCCGCCGCCCGCGACCCGATCGAGACCTCGTAGTCATGGCAGCATCCAGCGCGCCATCTCGCCCCAGACGGCCCGCCCTGGCCCTGTCGGCCTTCCCAGACAGCTTGTCCCGTCGAGCGACGAGCCATGCTGGCTCGTCGCGGGCCGCGAGCGCGAAGACCCGCGCGGAGCGTCGCCGAGCCTGACGTGCCCGCCCGCACGCCCGCGGCCGCAGGCAAGGGAGGCGAGCTTCCTGGCGTCTACGCCAAGCGCACACATGCCAAAAGACACCTCGCCAGCGCACGTGACGTGATCGAAGCGGCACGCCTCGGCGCCGCGAGAGCAGCCGGTCGACGTCGACACCAAGCGCACGGCCGCCGGGCGCCTCCGAACCCACAGGGGCGCCGCGGCAGTAGAGAGCACTCCACCCGCCATACCGTTGATATAACACACTCACTCACGGGGTTTCGGCACTTGGAGCCGCCCGCGTTTTTTTTTTCGGCGCCCAACAGGATTGACTCGGGCGACCCGACTTCGCGACATACTATGGGTTGGAGGGACCTCGAGGCGATCCTCGACGACGCCGGGAGGGCTCTCCTCGAGTCGGTGTTTGCGCGTGAGCCTTCGCCTGACAGCGACGTTCTCAACCAACTCGCAAGGCGTGCGCGCCCGCCGCGCGCTCTCGCCATCGCTCACGCCGAGATCTGCCAATCTCCGCCGGAGCGCCGCTCCCTGCGTCACTGCTTTCCCGGCACCGCTCTCGCGCAGGCACCTCGACGCCAGTCGCCACCGCGTGTCGGAGTGGTTTCAAGGGAAGCGGAGTGAGGCCGCCGGCGCCGACGGTGGGAAGAGCGAGGGGGAGGAGGGGTCGCAAGTCGGCGGCGGCGTATCGCCACCGCCGCCGAGCTCGCCTCCCGCTCGGCAGCAGGACGAGCCATCGCCTCCCTCGCCCTCCGAAGCCCCGCCGGTCGCGCCGCAAGCGGCTCGGGAAGTGGAGGCGACCCAAGGGCCGCAAGGCCCACCGGCACGGGGGGCGGCGGCTAAGCGGCTGTCCGGCGACACGCCCTCCGCCTCGGCCTCGGCCGCCGCCACGCCGCGTCCGCCCCCGCCGCCGCCCCCACGCCGCCCGCCCCCTCCTCCGCCCCCACCCGCCTCCTCCGCAAGCGTTCTTCCCACGAGCGGCAAGCGATCAAAGGAGCAGGGGCCCTCGTGCCGGGTGCGCGTGCTCTCTCGCCGAGATGTCGCGGAGATGTCCCCTCAAAAAATGTGCGAGAGGCATTGGCGGACCCCCCCCCCCCCCCGGACGGGTCGGGTCTTAGACTTTGACCCCTTGATTTCACTCCCCAGCACCCCCATGGAAGCCGTTGTCACCATCTCCTTAATAACGCACCACAGAGGTGTGTACGCTCTAATGCATCCTTTAGTCTGTGATGGCAACCAATAGGTGTGCAAGAGGACGCCGTGCCGGGGAGGCGTCCGACTCTGTTGCGCCGCGAGACCGCAGCGCGCACTCCATCACAGCCAGATGTGGTTCCGCATTCACCACATATAGGCCGCGGCTGCACACGCCGCACGGAGAGCCGGGTGCAGAGGAGTCAATCTCAGTGCGAAGGGATTGGTGCATAGGGCCCGGCTGCTTCGCACGGGGAGCCCGCGCGGTGGAAAAGGGTGGGCGGGCGGCGGAGGCGGCGGCGGAGGCGGAGGCGGCGGCGGCGGCGGCGGAGGGAGGGGCGAGTGGCGCCGATGCGCCGAGCAGTGCGGCGCGGGGGGCGGGCACGGAGGCTGGCAAGGCCCTAGCCGCCGCCCTATTCCAACGTGTGAGCGGTACCGTGAGATACCCGTCGCTGAGACTGGACAGGCCGTGTGTTTGTATAGGCGGCCGAGGCCCCTCCTCCTCCTCCTCCGCCGCCTCCGCCTCCGCCGCCGCCGCGGCCAAAGGAGGTGGTAGGAGGAGAGGCACGCTCTCGAGGTGTGAAGGGGGCGCTTGTTCACAGCCTGCAGCTGTGAACAGGCAAAGTGGGGTAGGGTGGAGCTGGTTCCGCTGCGGGCGGTCCCGTGCAAGACGCTCGGCTGCAATCTCTACGCGGGACACGACGGTCCCTGCTCCCGATTGCGCGGCCTCAGTTAGGTAATGAATGCGCGCGTGGATGAGCGTGCCGGTTGTGTCGCGCAGGTCTGCCCCTTCACAGACGGGGGGGGCGAGGGGGGGGGGCTGATCGAAAGCAGTAGCTCAGTGAGCGATTTCACTCTCGCAGGCCCTTGCTCGAACGCGGTCAGCGGCAAGCGCGCCCGCGTCCCGAACCGGCGGATTGACCAGCCGACCAAGACACCGACGCCGAAGAGGTCTAAGGCACAATGCTGGTTGATGATTCACGCGTCCGATTCCTCAGGCGGATGGACCCGATCAAGACGAATGCGGAGGAGGCGGAGCAGCGGGCGAGGCTGCTCGAGGCGAAGGCGAAGGCGGCGGCCGAGGCGAGGGCGGCGAGGGAGGCGGCGGCGAGGGAGGCGGCGGCGAGGGAGGCGGCGGCGAGGGAGGCGGCGGCGAGGGAGGCGGCGGCGAGGGAGGCGGCGGCGAGGGAGGAGGCGGCGGAGGCGGCGAGGGAGGCGGCGAGGGAGCAGGCGGCGAGGGAGGCGGAGGCGGCGGCGGCGGCTGAGGCTGCGGCAGCCCTCCCGCAAGCCGCTACCGCCGCCGCCGCCGCCGCCGCCAGGAGCACCTCCGCCTCCGCCGCCGCCGCCTGCGGCTGCCGC